TAGTCTTCTCTTGGAGAAACATTTGAGCTTTGCTGGAGCTCGTTGGCAGATGAACACAACACTTCACCAAAATCGACCAGAAGACACGCATAATTGGACAAATTTATGTTTGGAACCCCATGACTACCGGATTCATTATGTAAACATTGATTTGCGTCATCAGTATGGAATTTCTGTCGCTGAGTCGCAGACGTTCCTCCTCGCGAAACGTCCCCAGCGGCGAAGAGCGAGGANACTGATGACGTAAAATCTGTCCGGAATCCGGTCAGAAGTGCTGATTGGTCGACGGAGTACTTACATTGTTTAAGCTATTGTTTACGAATGACAGACAAAAGACAAAAGGCCACAAAGGTCAAATGTAAACGCGAAGAATCTCTGACAAAACAGTCAATATTTCTGGAATATAGTCTTCTCTTGGAGAAACATTTGAGCTTTGCTGGAGCTCGTTGGCAGATGAACACAACACTTCACCAAAATCGACCAGAAGACACGCATAATTGGACAAATTTATGTTTGGAACCCCATGACTACCGGATTCATTATGTAAACATTGATTTGCGTCATCAGTATGGAATTTCTGTCGCTGAGTCGCAGACGTTCCTCCTCGCGAAACGTCCCCAGCGGCGAAGAGCGAGGAGAAACGGATGTTTTCGCAGGCTACGACACGGTGAGCAGGTGAGAGCACACTCAATCTGCTTCAAGAAGAACCGGAATTAGGTCTATACCAAAAATCGTGAGAGTATGACTTTAAATATTGTGATCATAGTCTTTTGGCATCTAGGCTTTGTTCACACTTATACCGAATGGCTTTTGCGCCGACAAGAGAACCACACTGGATTGGGCTTCCTTTTCCACACAAGAGCGGTGATTTTGGCGCGCTTTCTGTGACGGGGCGAAGCTGCGCCGCGCCTCTTTGTGCGTCACGTATGGGATAGTTTCTGTGCCACACTTTGAATAGGTATTCGGATCGTTGCAGTGGTGAAAAGGAGAATAGAGGACTGAAACCCACTGAGACAGAAGAAAACATTCAGTAGTGAGGATTTGGATTAAAAGAACCCAACCCTCTCGGCCACAAACCGCTCTTGCTTTATACCTGCCAACTCTCACGCATTATGCGTGAGTCTCACGCCTTTGAACTAAAAACATCGATCTCACGCATCAAAGACAATTTCTGACACCGGACTCCCAAATCCGGAAAAACTGTTCTTTAACACATGATAAATAATGAAAATTCAATTCAAAAAGGCGTTAAATGATGACTTTGTGTCCTTTGTTTTGTTCTAACGAAATCAAAGCACGCAAACATTGTCGTCTTTTAAGTAGTTTGAAAGTGCTCAAACGTCTTCGAAACATCTACGGACATTTTCGGCAACGTTCGGAAGTCTTCGGAAAGTTGTCGGAAATCTTCGGAAGTCGCCGGGGCGTTTCCGAAAATTCTGGTCATGACAAGGTGAAAATCACACGCATTTGACTCACGCAGGTATATACCATACCGGACAACTTCTCGTGTCGGCACGAAAAGCTATCCATTCAGTTAATGTGAACATAGCCTAAAGGGAGCTTACTTTCCTCGTGCTAGACACCCCGTTTTCGCTGGCATGATCACCCGTTGAACTATCTACGTTAGAAATAAGGACTAGTGGTTGACTCGCACACCACTGCTAGTGGCTGAATAACTTCCAGTAATTTCCCGTATGATCTGTGTTACAGCACGACACGACAGTTGCCGCATTACTGAGCGCACTCAATCTCTATGATGGAATCTCGCCAGCTTACTCCAGTGCTGTAATAGTTGAACTCTACTCAGACGTAAATGATGACAAGTAAGACAATTACAGTTGTTCATGTGTTGATCGATGAGCAGTTCTAGTGAAAACAAATGAATGCACACATGTTATTTTTGACCAAACTCTTCCCCACCCATCGATTGATGTAAGTTCACATCACTTCAAAGTGTCTCCTGTCCTTTTCCAGTGCCATTAGTAAGGTTTCTTGTATGTCTCCTTTTTTGATATGTAACAAATGTTATCGTGTTGAGGTTGCTTTCGATGTTCGAGAGAATTGCACTATGGCAATGTTTGGGGTAGGGGTAGGGGGAAGGGGCAACAGAGAATAAGCTAATTGTCTCTTGGTAGAGGGTTGGAGAATCAATCACTTTTATGGCCATTTCGAAGTTGTGCTGGGACCGCAGTCAAAGTTCCTACCCCCATACTACCCCAATACAACGCTAAAAAATATGCAATCATCAACACTACACGGATTCAGATTCACGCACAACTGCAAGAGGCCTATAGTATTCGATTGTCAAGCATTTTCCCCTAAATAAAGTTAAACGTGAAGTTGCATTCGTGGGTACCTGTATATATTAAAAAGGCGTTGATCTTATTCTTCTCTGTTTCTTTTGTTTGTGTTTAATTGTTAGAAAAGACTTGAAAGTGCGTATACTGTACCGGTTTGGCCAAAGTACAGACCCGAGAGTTCTTAAACTATCCAACTGCATCGAATATTGTCCCCTGGATCAGTTCATCAAGTAAGTTGCTCTTGTTTAAAAATTAGGGTGGCTCCGGTCACACTGAAAACAAAAGTGAGCGAGTGAATCAAAGGATTCTTTTGTTTCACTCGTTACACATTTGACTAACAAAGAACAATGATTGTAATTGGTGAATATCGCTGTATCACTAGCGCAGCGTAAAAAATAGGTTTGGCAAAATATTCTCTCTCTTGATTTTTTCACAAATCTTTTCATCACGATCGCGCTTGACTAAATAAGCCATGAAAGCAGAACATCCTTTTGTTTCTCGAAAGAAGAGGATAAAGCAAGGTTCTGCCAGCTCTTTCTGAATTACGTCAAGCCTTTGAAGTCGCCGCAGCCCGAACTTCTGAACTAGTCAGTCTTGTTTTCTCTCGTCAAACTAGTTTTTTCGAGTGCGACCATCCGTTTATGACAACTGAGCCTGCTATACCAAGCGCACGGCTATTAGGCCTGGGCTCGAAACTGTATCCTAACAACATGCAACGCATGCTCAACAAATTCAAGCAGACGCCAAAATCGAGCAAGCGAAGGAAAGTCTTTTCTGGTAGAGTTGGCTAAATAATATGTTGCAGGACTTGTGTTTTGAGCAACTCAACTTCGGCTAGACTTTGAAAAAGTTATTCGTCCTTTAGAGCGTTTTCACTCACATGGCCAGCATGTATGCTAATTTATTGGAACAAAAGAAAGCATTTACATGAGAAAAGAGTTCAACTCCCAGAGTATTTTCTTTGTACACCAACGTGGCCGCCGTTTCATAGAGCTATTCGGCTAACTCAATGTTGTACCCAAATCAAACCCTTTGGGAATAAAACGTTTTGTTTCAGGAATTTCCATATCATTTAAATGTGAATGCCACATTATAATGCAAATACAATACACAAAGAGTCTTATCCCCGGGAGATTTGAATTGGGTACAACATTGAGTTAGCCGAATAGGTCTATTGTTTTAGAACACCAATATGGCCGCCGTGACGTCATGTGAAAACGCTCAATTTTAGTGATTGTTCAGTTATGTCTTCTCCCGCGCTCTTTGGCCGAAAAAAAGAAAGCGTGCAAGAAAAGTCGATGACACTCGAGGATTATGAAATTGTTGATGAATGTGGAATTGAGTTGTTAATTACTGTGTTGGCCTTCCCTTTTCAGGACGACTGCTGGTGTTATTCCGGGTGATCTGAACAAAGCTTGTGGCGTGAAGCAAGACAAATTGTGCGTGAAGACCATTGTCTATAAGAGTAAGTTCTGTGCTAACCATAAACTCTCAGTCCCTTTAAGACCTTGATATTGAAACTTAAATAATCTAGCTAATTTGCGACTTTCACGTTCCCCATAATTTAATTTGTCCTCCCCACAAAATTTTACGTAAGTATTGTTTTCAGATTATCTTTGGACTAACAATTGCCCCTGAAGAAATTTTTTTGGGGAAACAAATTGTGTTATGGAAAACGTGAAAGTCGCAGATAATCGAAAATGGATTCTCGTTTGCCAAGTACGTGAGCGAGCCTCAAAAGTCCACGAGGCGTGTGGCGACATAGAAACCGCGCGTATTCGTGCGAGTTAAAGAAGCTGTAAACTGTAAGTGCCCCGTGATTCCGTTTGTGTGACTTACACATATTATTACCTATCATATGTGATGGGAAACTGCTATAGGTTAAAGTTGTAGATGCAGAACACAAAAGCACGTTTGTTTTGCAATTTTTTCCCCAATGAGTCCCAATATCGATTTCCAGGATTAATTTATTTCAACAATGAACAATCAAAATTTAAAAAACTGTTCTGCCCGCAATTTTTAAAAACTGAATCATTGGATAATGCATTTCTGGAGATCTGACTGGCCTAGCCATCATGGTATATGAGCCATTATACCATGCTCTCTAAATATGATAACTGTACGTGTCTGCTCAAAATTAAAAACAAGCTGAAAATCGGTTGTTTTTACAAATAAAGTCGTGAGAAATTCTCGATACTTTGTGCGCGTTTTCAAGAAAACAATTATTCCACTCGCGCTTGTTGGATATGAGATGATTATAGCCAACTCGGCGCTACGCACCTCTTTGGCTATCTACGATCTCATATCCAACGCGTACTCGTGGAATAATTGTTAAATCGCAGGGCTAATCTAGGCGGTAGAGCAAATCAGATAGTTTGTAACACACTGGAAGATCTAAGTGAATAAGTAAATAAATATTTTTTTAAGAGATAGAGAAAAAAAATGTTTACAAAACAAGCAGGAATTCTGTCCGCGTACCTCTGATACACAGACTGGAGCTAAATCCCCCCTTTTTCTTTTGCAGGTTTCTTGGCGGGCTTTATTGCCGTCACCGCGATTCTCTCTCTTCTGCTGCTTGTACTGTTCATCAGATGCTGTCGGCGAAAATGCTGCCGTCGAAAAAAAAATCTGACTTTTTATAACGACCTATTGAAAGATGCGCGACTCCTGGACAAGCCAGATTATGACTCTGACAGTTAGAACATAATCTACCGAACTAGTTAACATTGAATAGAGTTTTCCCATTGTTCAATCTTAATGACACGAGCACTAGGAAGTTCTTTGTATGGTGGGGCTCTGAAGCTACGGATTGTCGCCAAGCAACACTTTTTCTGACAAATTCCGGGCTCATTTTTCTGGGATGGAGAGAAGAAAATAGAAAATAGGTTAAGGGACTGGTGGTTCCCAGATCTCGTAGCTGTGAACACAGACTATTTTTAACATTGTACAAATTGAAGAATTGCAGATTAGTATTATCGTTATCATTATCATTTTTTGCTTTTTTTGTGTGTTTGGCAGTTGTCGATGAAGGGTGAGGTATATTTATTTTAGATACCATTATGATCACTTACGTTGACGTTCTAATGTCACCAGTCAACTTTATGAAGAAAATTTACTGTTATCATTCGATGAAATTTTTCTTTCTTTCCATTGGCCGTGGGCCAACCGCGTGACCTGCAAATAATATTCTGTTCATGCGTAAATGAAACCAAGCTTTTCTCCTTCTTGTGATCGCTCTTAGGTGAAAATAGCAGATTGCATCGCTTCCCGAAGATATCCATTAAAAAACAAACTCGGTGATCGAATGATAAAACAATTATTGAACGAGGTTGTCAGTGTCTCGCAGATTAATTATTAAGGCTTCGACAAGGAAATATTTAATCTGCTCGCCACTGACAAATGCCGATATTTTGCTCAACCTCGTCCAATAATTGTTAATTATTCTTGTTTAAAAGGTTGCATGATGGACTCTAGCATACTTGTCATGTTTAAGTCGCTTAAAATCTTCTAGCATTTCATACCGAATTTTAACAAGTTTTCATTAGTTAAAACGACACGGTACATCAAAAGGTAAACCGAACTAAGCTTAAAAATTGTGTGATATTTTGTGACACATGCAGTGAGAGTTGAACACAGCGAGATATACCGCGTGAAAAAAATTACTACCTGCGTAATCTGGAAGCGTGATGGATACTTATCCGTTTTAGTATTTTTTATTAGATTATTAACTGAGAGATGAGTGTATTTTTAACCACCAAATAGGTGTATGTTTTAGACACATAGAGTAGCTACCTGGTAGAAACTTAAATTAAATGAGAAGTAAAATGTACAAGTGGTTCTTTGAGTGTGATCTAGCCTGCAAATACAGTTGACTTTCTCTTAACGGACACCTCTATAAAACGGACACCTAGAGTTGGTCCCTGCCTTTCTTTACTCCTTTTATTTGACACGCTATAAGAAGGACACCTCTCTAAGACGGACACTTAGTGCCGGTCCCTAAGGTGTCCGTCTTAGACAGAGTTGACTGTATAACCTCTCCGCACTCCCGGCCGCTAGGGACGTCCCTAGGGGCGCGCTTAAACGCGTACAAGTTGAACCTCGTTCAAATTTTTGCTTACGCGCGACCTTTCGTAAATTAACTCTTTTGTTTACACGCGCACGAATGTAAATATTACGCGACGGTGGATATCCACCTTAAGAGGAAGATCAGCGTCCATCGCTTGAATCCGTATAATACGGGTTGGTATATTCAAATATGGCTGAATAAAAGTATAGATTTGCTGAGGCAAGTTGCAGGGTGTCGCCTATACACAGGTTTCTCTTGAAGTAGTTGGAAAAGGCGAGATAACCGTGTCTGAAAGACTTAAAATTAGTTTTTTTTAACTACCCTGTTCCTTCTCTTTGCCCCGCGCTCTAAACTCCACTGGGTCTACATCTTCCGGTGTGTATATCTTTCCTAACTAGAGCAGCCTGCGATGTTTCTTGGGAAGGATGCATTTTGCCCCGATTCCCGCTCGTTGTCCATTTAATGCAAATGGCCTTTTCGAGGTTACACTCAAGACTGGTGGTACTTTGTCGAATTGAACGGTTTAATTTTTTGGGTGTTCTGGGCAACTCCGTAATGGTTGGTAAAAGAACTATCCCCAAGAGAGTCCATATTGCAATTCGACACAGCACTGTCCGCCGTCTCATGGGCAGCCAGTGACGTTCCATACTTTCTGTTGTGCGCTCTCTGCCAATGCAGGGTAATGACAGATTTGGTGTGTTTGGTGTTTGTGCATGCAACAATAATCAAGCAGACAAGTAAATGTCGGTAAATTCTTTATTGTAATACGTGACAACAGAATGACAAAAATAACAGCAAGAAATCTCCTTTCGCGTTCAACTTGAAACCTTTCCTCATACTCCAAGCCATTCTTTCTCCTGATTGGAGCTGACAGGTTTTCTGTCGCCTTTACTTTATTCCTGTTGAAAATAACAAAAACGTATGTCTCGGAAAAGGTACTTAATGGCTTTTTAGTCGCGGAAATAACAGTCAAGAATCTGTAACTTGTATAGAAAGTGCAGGCTCGGTTTGGCGGCCCTATCGGTCAATATTAAGGAAGCCCAGGGGCCTCTTGTGATGCGCCATTAATTATTAATAATACCCCTACGAGCGGTTTCTTATTATCTATTCTAAGATCCTTGGAAAATTTTGTCGTGGAAAAGAGAGGCATTGGAAGGACCAGGATATCAAAGAGACTTCTCATGGTGCCCATCAAACATGCATGCTACTCAGGTTATGTTCAGTGTTGGTTTCTTTGCTTACCTGATAAGGGTTACACCGGAGGGTGACAGATAAAGGTCCAAATTGCAACACCTTGATGACCCTGAATAACAAAAATATTAATTTTAGGACTAAGGATGCTTTTGAAACTGGACAGTGTTTGAGATGATATCGCACATAACAGGTCTTAGACCTTGCTCTTAATTTGGTAAATAAAACAGTTTAAACGATTATTTATAACATCACCTGGAGTAAGATGTTCTGGGATTCTGCGTGGCCGTTTACAGGCCTTCTCTGGCTCATTGAACACCGTATATGGCCTACTGGACAATAAGCATGGAGAGCGCGATTCCACTAAGATCATCCCTGACGCCCAGACCGTGGCCTGGCAGCCATCATACCATCCAAATCTTAACTTTTCCGCCTCAGATAAATGAACTCTGGTATCCACACCTAAACAAAAATTCCTTTTTTTATTGAAACAACAACAACAATAATTTTATTTTTTGTATGCAAAAGGAGTTGTGCATAAGTGTAAAGTGTAAGACATTATTGACAGATTAAAGTTCAGATGGAAATACTAAGTATAATATTTGCATCCCATAACCATTGTCAACGGGGAAGTAAGTTATAGGAGGAAATCGCGTGAATAATGAATAATGTGGGTATGCGACGTCAACCGCCTACGGGGGAGCTGGGAGGGACGAAACTTTGAAGTCACTTCCACTGAAATCTGTTGAACTGGCCCGTCAAGAGGAGGGCTAAAACAGATCAATTCTAATCAAGGGCCGCAATGCATCATGCCCAAAGTGCGCAGGCCCAACACGACGGAATTTAAAGGAGTTTCTTATTTCCTGCGTAACGGGCAAATTGTTTATGCAGTGAGAATATTTATTTGCTATTTATGGTTTGCGTTTTCTTTTGAATAAAGAACGTTAAAGCTGAGCCCAAGAAGACAAAGAGGGTTTCTAAAATGCTTAGAAGATGTTGATGCATGCATCCTTACATCTTACACCGTTGCATTGGTATTCAGAGCGACTATAAAAGACACTTACTGTACGAGCAATGTTTAGTAGCAATCAATTCTTCTCGATGTTTTACTTCCTCTTTCGTAAGAACCAGTGAACTCAAGCAATTCGACGTCGCCGAGGGGAGCTCACGTTCTTCATCATAGGATTTGTCCTTGCTAAAGATCAAGAAACAAATCGTATTTCAGTGCTGGAAAGCAGTATGTATCCCGCACGTTTAGGAAAAAAAAGCATTTTATAAAATAGGACGCCTTCCCGCATCTTAGTTGACAAGAAATCTAAAACAATCGCCTCAAAGGATTCAGTGGGCTCAAAAAAGGGTATGGCGAACGACTTTCCCCCTTTACGATAGGCACTTGAGTAGCTAGGACTTCGTTTGATTTGCTATTTGATAGAGGTTCTAAAACTATTTTCGGATCCAATCACCAAGTAAGTACATGACGAATAATTAGCATACAACTTACATGTCCCCAAACGAATTTGAAGAAGGGCCGTCTGTGGAACCTACAAAGATTAATATAATGAGGCTAGGTATATATTGATAATTCCTACAAACACTCCAAATAAGTAGCCTGAATTTCATCCTATTACTTCGAGTCGTTATTACTCCCTCAGTTGATGAGAGGAGAAAACGACTCGAAGAAATCGGATGAATTTCAGGCTACCAAATAAGAGCATGCTTGACAACATCGTAACTAGCCTCATACCCTTAAAACGTTTGAAAAAATTTGCCAAGAACACCGGGACCAAGGCCGTTTTGTGTGATTCTCACGCTCTTTCCGAGAAGCCACAGAAAGATTCCCTGTTTTCATTCATATTTTCAAAGTATAACCATTATAACTATTATTAACAAGCTCAGTTTAAATCTGTTAACAGACTGCAGCTCACGAAAATTAAAGTAAACATTACGATAGCTTGATCGTGAATTGCATTTTTATCAGCTGCAGTTGTATATAAATCCGAATCCTGACGTAAGGGCAAAACGTCTTGATCGCGTGATGATGTCCAGCAGTTAGACCTCAGCTTAGATTTGGAACGAAGATTGATTACAATGCGGCGGCTCCGCTTTTAGGCTTGGCTAGTTTTAGACATTATGTTCCTTTCGAAAGTATTCCATACTGCGCCATGATAGAGGGCGAATTTCCTCTTCGGTGGTGGAAAAAATGTCTTCAGGGACAGAGTATTGAGATATCGGTTGATTTCTATTAGTATTACCTGGTGAAAGAAGTCTCGGGATTCGGAGGGGCCGTTCATGGACCTGCTCGGACTCACTTAACGCCATATGTGGAGAATGCATGTCCAATACAATCAAAACCAAAGCCCAGACAGTGGCCTGGTAACCACAATACCACATCACACACAAAACAACCAAGGGCTGAAAAATGTCACAGTCGGTTTCTTGAATA